GGGAGGGAGAGAAGGGACGGCCCGCCGCCGGCGCGCAACACAAAGGCAGCCTTGCCCCGGAATGCACTCCCGCTAGGAGTTCCGAGGTAAGTCGACCCAGAGCGGGGAGGAGACGCCACAGAAGAACCAGCCCCGCGGCGCAAGAGCCCCCGCGGTGAAATCGGACGCTCCGGGCCAGGAGACCGTATGACGGCGCCGCGTGTTTTTGACCCAAAAGGTCGGAGGAGGAGGAGGAGAAGCAATCTTGGCGTGTGCTCCCTGCAGGGCTGCCTTTGCCAATCCCGCGCGACCTTCGCCGAGTCTCCGGAGGGGCGAGCCGGGGGAGAGGGTCTCCCCCTCTAGGCCGCCAGCGGGATTGAGCTACTGGGCGGCGATGGACGGTCTGAACTGACACGCAGCGAGAGCGCGCGGCGGCCTTGGAAACGCGACCCATTGGGAAAGGAAGGGGGAGCTTAAAGAGAAATGACAGGGCGAAAACCCCGCAGTCACAGAATAATTAGAATAAATTAGGAGGGATTGGAGTTTTGTTTTCTTTTTCCTGCAAAAGGTTGAGTGGGCATCAGACATGTAAAATAGCCTTGCATACTATTTTCGACCTCACGTCGGTGGTGAAGATGGATTTCCTAGGTGGAGTCATGCAACATAAAAGCTTACAGCTGATCGTATTCCTGGAGTATATTATTTTTGCCCAGCTTGGAGCAGGTAAGCAGAAATAAGCAGTAAAGGCATTTAAACTGCAGATGCTTCAGACAAGTCTTTAAAAGCTTTTCATATTCAACTTTATTTTAGTAAATCAATAAAACTCTCCTTCTCCCCTCATTTAGACATATAAATTTACAAACTGATGAAACTTACTTACTATAATAACCCTTGTCCCCATTTTAAAACCAGAAAAGTGAGTCAAAGAGATTTCTAGTTTTCACAATTTAATGTAAAGTGTCAGGAGAGAACTTTTAGTTTTGCCTGATTCTCAAGAGCCAGGGGAAAAATTAAAAATGTATGACAGCAATGCCAACTTGGATGTTAAGATTTCATATTCTGCAAATGACCTGGTTTACTTCATGTATTTTCATGTACAAATTAAATATGAGTTTAATTTTGGGGTGGTTATATGTATGCAACTGTATGTTCAAAGTTTTTGTGCGGCACCTGACACAAAGTTCAAGTGAAATAGGTCATGATAGGAACATAGAACAGTGGGGTTGATATACCAAATTTGAATCAAGTTGCTCATTTTTGTATAAGTGGTGCCTCTGTTTTTTTCAACAAAAAATACCTTTAAAAAGACATTTACAAGAACAGTTTTGTATTCTAAGCTTTCTCCGGCATAAGGATTAGAGATGTGTTTGTAATAGTGAGTTTGAGGCAGGGCTCCCTGGGTACAGACAGCCCCCTAGTGTTGCTGAGCATAAGGCTGCATTACTTGAGACAGAAAGTCTGCTTAGAAGACGCATCAATGCTTAAAAAACACATTGTTAAGCCATGGTCTACTTAACAGTGGTTTATTAAGTAAATCACTATTGCCTGTATTCATATAACAGGCTAAGCCACAAATTATGGTTTATAAGCCACAATGGCTGGATTCACACATTGCACTAAGCCAAACCAAAGAAGTGACACTATGCTTTAGTAGCTGACTGGTAAATTCTTTTCCAGGTTTTGCATAGGAATCTTTCCCAATGTAGCTTACATTGAGACTGAATTGGAGGCCTTCTGCATGGAGTTCATGTGCTTTGCCACCAAAGCCTCTCCTTTATGATGGGCCTAAGGAGACTGCCATATAGAGAGCCCACAATACTTCCGTGCTGGCTGGCAAAGTTTGGATAGCAAACTTTTTCAAACTTACCTGGCAATGCTACCCATTGAAGCTGAGATGGGTGGGAACCAAAGATAGGTGGGCTCCACAGACAGAATCTTTTCCCCTGCAACCTGCACATGGATGTGTTTTCATTGGGCTGAGCATTGCTCTCAGCCATTCCTAGTGATGTAACACATAATCCATTGACATCTTAGAACTCCAGCATGCAACATTCCTCCCGTCTGGGAAGGGATGGGCAGCTGGATACCTAAATCAGCAACCTTTTCTAGCCTTAGGGACTTTTACACAATTACCACAATGACCCAAGTGCTTCCCCATGGCCAAAATGTTATGAGACCACATGCAGGATTGCTAAAATTTTGCAATATACAAAGGCCAGATTGCTGAGGAATGCTGTAGATGCTAATGAGCACTGCTGCCATCTGGCAGAGCAAAACCCCTTTTCAGGATAAATCATCATGTAATAATAGCTGGATAGTGCCACAGATTTCACACCAAGATCTTCTGGCTCGGTTGTAAAAAAATGTCCAAATGCAATGTGCTAGTTCCTATGAATGGCAGCAAAAGATCTGTCACTCCAGAAGGCCATAGAGCCTGCCTAATGATTCAAATATGATTTGCTAAGATTCCATATTAATCAAATGATAATGAAAGCATTGAAAAATGGCTGGAGAAAACTGTTGACTCTCAGATCTGCATCTAAAAGCCTACATAGCACAGTGCAGATATGGAATTGGTAATAAATGCAAGTTCCATTTCAATTCAATAGTTTAACCCAGATCTGTGTCTTGCTCTCTGTCCTTTTTACCATGAGAGTCCTCAATAGGTTTCAGTAAAGATTTTGGTCCAGTAAGAATGGCTGTAGAAAGTCATAGTCCCTGGCTATCACCTATGTTTGTTTAATAAAACAACAGATTTGGTATAATGCAGTTTGGCCATTAATAGGAAAACCAAGCAATATTTAGCTTGATTTCTTATGGCATGGCAGAATTCAAATGTTGTTGCTTCTTTTATTTTTTTTTCCTCCTCTTCCTGCTGTCAATCCAGGTGTTCAGCAATTCTTAGTTGTTAAGGTATTGTAAAATCCCAAGCAAGGAAGGGGGAATCTTGTTTTGTCTCTGCTGTATGTTCAACTACCCCACATTGACATGAAAAACCCGAACAGTATGGTTGGCTGAATGTAGCTTTACTGTTTGGCATGACTAAGAACCCCATTGACATGGGTGCCATTGTTTTAATTCAGTGATGGGGAAGCAAATTAAAGGTTTGATAATTTGGTTTTTGGGTTGGGGATCATGTAAAATCATCTTGTGATGAATTACAGCATATAGGTGGCCCAGGAAGACCTGGTATCTAAGGTAGGAAGGAGGGGGTCTGCCTTTGACTTCTTGCTTTCTCCTTCTTCCCTCTCAGTACCTGATTCTGAGGAGTCATAAAAGCAAAGTATTATGGATGAAGTGGCTATGGAGCCAGCCTGTGTTGCTACAGCACAGGTGTCTCCCATTGCCCCTTGCTCTCAGTGCCTCATTCAAGGTCCTCTTGAGCAAAGGTCAGTCTTTAGTCTGGCATGGACTCCAGACAGATTCTACAAAAATAAAGCAGCCAGCATAACTCTCCAGGACACATTCTGTCTTGACACCTCGATCTGAAGAATCCTGAAGAATTGTTAATGTTTCCCATCAATCTCACTTGGTAATGGTGAATTATTTGAAAAAAGCAGGAAGCCCAAGTTACATTGACCCACTCTATTAGTCTGCAGTCTTTCCCCATCATCTCATAAACAAAGGCTGGGCAGAAAGTAAATCTGGAACTCTTGCTAGATATCTACATGATGTCCAGGGAAGATTTCCAACTTCTATTTATTTAACTATGACAACCACAAAATGTATCCTCTATTTTACATTACTCGAAAGCTCAGAATAACCATCTATGGATATTTGTATGGAGGAAACAAAAGCTTTGTTCAGTTCTGTAATGCAAAACAAATTCCTAGACACAGGAATCCTTACTGTTGAATTTATATATATTTTACACCAGGCTCTCAGACTTGTACAATAATAATCAACAAAAAGACAAGTAGATCCCACTATCCTTGTGTCAGCCCATTCCTGCCAAAATCATGCAAAATGGAGCTGTTCTAATTGGTTTAGCAGCAAACATATAGTAATGACAGGATTGCATGAGGTATAGCAGGGGCACTTTGCTAGGCAAAGCTGGTGGACAATTTTAATCCTGGGTTAAAACTTAGTAGTGGGATAGAACTCTTCAGGTTCTCTGGCGACCCCAATAACATCAGCTATTAGCTGGGTTCATATACAGAACTATGTCATGGTACTTTGAATAAGTTACAGTGGCCTGGTTTCTACATAATGCTAAGCCATAAACCACATTCAGTGGAGCTCTACATCACACTGATCCAGAAAACCAAACAAAGTGTATTATTGCTTTAATTGAACGGATAACATTTAACATTTCTACATGTGATGTGTGTGTTTATGAAGCTTAGTATGGTATGAAAATTCAGCCTCACCCTTTCACTGGGGTTCTGTTTCTTGATCCCACTGGTTCTCAGTTCAAGAGCCCGTTTTTTTAATAGAGAGGAATAGTAATATTAAAGCACTGCTGGTTTACTTGACAGAAGTTGACAGATGAGATTAAATTCAGCTGGATGATATTACTGGGGCCCCACTGTAACAGTTGTAACTTTTCACAGAAAACTAAGTTGCACTGCTATCCCCGGGTAGTCAAAATAGTTTGGTTACAGTGATTACGTTCTCCCTCCCATCACAATTAGGAACACAGAAGAGGGCCATTGAGATATATGAAAAGCTCTGCTGGACCTGGTTGAAAACCAAAGGGTAAATTAGACTGCAACAGAGAATGTGATTAAATCAGAGTACATAAGAAAATAAGCAAAGCAGTGCGGATTCAGGCCAAACATTTTGTTTTCTGTACGGTTATGCCAATAGGAAGCTCATAGATAGGACATGAGGACATAACTCTCCCTCACGTTTTCTACCAACATACTACACAATAAAACCATCATGATGAGTAGCCCCTAATAGCCTTATTCTCTAGAACAATGATTCTCAACCTTGACAACTTCAAGTCCACACATCTTAAAGTTGTCAAGGTTGAAAAACACTGCTCTAGGATGTTTTCCAGTCCTCTTTTATTACAAGTGCTTTTATACCATTTCAATTTTAAACAAAATTGAAGCAGCTTATACAAGTGGTATGCAGTAAACTATACAATGCATAAAATCTAATAAATGAAAATAAAAATCACAATAATTGTGAACATTTCATGAACAGCACCCACATACTTCCTAAGTATATACATCTTCCACATCTCCCCAATATCACCATCTCTTGAATTTTATTGTATTTAATAAATATATTTTATATTTGTATTATTTAGGTTGTTATTGATTTTAAATTGTTTTGTTGTGAACCGCCCAGAGTCCCTCCTTGTGGGGCAGTTGGACGGTGATATAAATTTAATAAATAAATAAATAAATAAATAGACAGACAGACAGACAGACAGACAGACAGACAGACTAAAGCATGTGTGGCCGTGAGCAAAGCTTCCCGATTGAGGAAAGGCGGCAATTGGCATGCAAGACAGATCTGTGCAAAGGGCCCCTAGCCACAGCTGCTACCTGCTCTTCAAGCAGGAGCCATGAGTCCAGGAGGACCCACAAATTACACACTAG